TGACTTGTCCCATTTATATTCAAAGAAGTTGTTTTTCCTTATGCCTTCCAAACAAGCGCAAGGGCGCGGGATGGTTATGACAAGTTTGAAACTTTCTATTGAGACCAAAGAGGTCATTGTGACGTTTACATTTTTAGTTGACAACGTCAGACACATACGAGCGTGATAGTTTTCAACCCAATTATTGATTTTAATTTAGTTTACAAACTATTATTTATTTGCTTCAGCAATCGAAGATAATCATAACTGAACTGGTATATGTATGTATAAAACTAATCTCATTTCGCTATTCTTAACTTAAGTCAAACTTATTATTTAGAAATAAAAAATAAAAATTAAAACACCCACCAAATAGTATTTAAAAAATGTATGTTGGTGTCGTCAGGTCAATTCTTTCGATGATGAATAAAGTAGATTCAATCAGGAAATAGACTTATACGAACATTCTTGATATGAATTTTAATAACCGTGTATACTTTATATTCTATATAGGCGAATTTTTGTAATGTGTAATTAATATTAATGATTTGTAAATGTCTGCAAAATATTGTAAGCAAAGCCCATAAATTATTCACCGACAATTTATAGCTTATTTTAATGAAGATATTTAACATAAAATAAAAATAGTAAAATCGACAATATGGCGTCAGATATATCTTTGCCAGGGCAGCGACGCAAATCTGAAACACAAGACACGATAGTCCTTCACAATCATTCGACTGAATTCATTTCGAAAAAGTAATGATCGATTTCGGAAATTATTATCTGATATTTGATATTCAAAGTGACAATATATCGTATTTCAATTTTTTTTTTTTTTTTTTTTTTTAGTATAAAATTAGAATTTATGAAAATGAAAGGTAACACATTCCCTTCGGAAATAATAAATATTATGGCATCGGGAGGTAAGTTATTGACAGTTATTGACAGGTCAAGCCTCGGTATTGTTCTCTGAATGGCTTCTCAAAATAGTAGTTTTATTTTCGATGTGGAAAAGTGTTCCTTAAAGAATTGGGTAATCATTAGTAAAAATTGTTATATTTCTTACGTTTTGCATGTATATGTATGAAATGGGGTTTAATGAAGATGTCGACGGGCATACGCGATACGGAGTGCTATAACGGCACTGTTGGCAAGGGTTATTTTACTCGCACGTCAACGTTTTCACGGTTATTTTACTCGCACGTCAACCCCAGTTTTTCATCCCATCCGAACGACTAGACGTTGGACGATGTCTTTGTCAGACACAGCAGCTTGCACCACTGACAAGGGGGAACCTCGCAGTGAAATGCCGATGAACTTTCTCAGCCAACACCGGGATCACGGATGGCCTGACAAGGACAGCTGTTTAGTCGTTCGGATGGGACAAAAAACGAGGTCCCGTGTACACATTGGCGTGCACGTAAAAGATCCCTTGACAGTTGAAATTCGATATAAGAGTAGGCTTTAGTGCCGCTGTCCGGGCAAAATTTCCCTCATAGCACACTGTATGGCGTATGCCTGTCTTCATTAGCCCAGTAGGACGTTAAACCCCATTTCATTTTATTTCATTTCCCACACCGGGATCGAATACGGAACCTCCTGGTTAACGAGCCAGTGCTTTACCGAGACACCGCGACTCCCTTTTTCTGTATCTGTATCTGTATGGGTACATCGAATTAACCACTACTGGCACTTAATCGACGGATGAGGGGGGGGGGGGGCGCTTAATAAAACTAATCACTGTAGAGGCGGGCTTTGAATGTTTCCACAGATGGCGATGTTACTTGATCATCAGAGAGTTTATTCCAGTCAATCACAGTTCTGATAAAAAAAAAATGAGTGATTGTGAGTGACCGTTTTCGCGACGTTTACTGTGAAGCACTTTGCATTGGAAGTAGCAGAGTTTTCAACAATGTTTATTGTATTAAAGTTTGTGAATGTTTTAGGTGTTATCCGACGCTTATTTCTAATGGGTTTTAAGTATTTATTTGGAGGTATGGCTGGTACCAGCCCCTCAACCACCTTAAAGAGAAATGTGAGCCTCAAATCTTTCCGACGTTCTTGAAGTAATGGGAGTTCTAGGTCTTTTAGCAACTGTGTGACGTGGCCTGGGGTCCTTGTCCTGTAGTCTCTTGTGATGAACCTAGCTGCCTTTCTCTGGATCCTTTCAAGTTTGTCAATGTCAGACATGAGGAAGGGATTCCAAATGATGGCTCCGTATTCCAGTGTTGATCGGACAAGAGCGATGTAGGCTGATTTCCTGGTTCTTGTAGGACAGTGGTGGAGGTTTCGACGAATGAATCCTAACGTCGAGCTGGCCCTTTTGCATATGTTATCGATGTGGGTTCCCCACTTCAAGTCAGAAGATATAGTCAGTCCCAAGTACGGGTTGTTATTGACTTCCTGGAGGAAGATACCGTCTAGTTGGTAAAAGTGTGAAGACTTTGGTTTGACACGTAGTACATAGCATTTTTTAGCGTTGAAACGCATACCCCATGTCTGGGCCCAGATTTCAAGGTTCTGTAGGTCATGCTGAAGGGTTATGTGGTCCTTAGTGTTGCATTAACTCTGGTGTGTTGTATTTAATGGCAGGTTTGTTTTTGCTGATTCTTTTGTTTAGACACACCGGCAATAAGTCGTATACCTGGACAATACCAAGATGATAAACAAAAGGATCTTACGGCCAAAAAAGTTCGTTTAATAGAATTTTATGAAATACAGTTAAAGGCAAAGTCATGGTAAGCGTCTTTATTGGCATCTTTTTATTTTTAAAATCAATTTAATTAAGCATTATCTAACTTACAATAGCTTCATCGCGTATCGTAACGATGCAATGTCAAGTTTTTAATTGGATATTTTACCTTTTACACAAGCGTATGGATCATGTGTAGGCCTACTTGAAAAAGATAAGAGAGTACTTGTCGAAACGTCGTGCTATATGTTTATAAACCAGTACTTGATTGATTCTAAACTAGCAGGTTCTTCCTAACCCAAATATAAGCTAACGGCTTTATTATTTTTATTTTAGGGAGGCAGCAATCGCATTAAGAGAATTTGAAGATAACAGAGAACTTCTGTTCAGAGTGATGGGTAGATTGAGAAAGATTGAAGAATCTCTTCAAAAATGGAAGGTAGTTGCATTGAATTATGAACTGAGTGCTTCTCTATTGGATGTAGGGGTAAGTATGTACCGAGATGCATTGAAAACTTTAATAAATGGACGATGATGAATATTGCTTGCGAGGTACACTTTAATTTTGTAATATTGAATGTAACAACGTCAGATTACGGTCACATAAATACACCACAGTTCAATTCTCTCAAACACAAAAAAGTGAATTCGACCGAATGGCAATGTTGAAAATTACGATGTGCAGACATGGGTTTAAAATGTGGAAACAAGTGTAGAGAAGGATCCCATGCAGCCATTCAGTCTTAACTCCTGCACGCGGTGACAGGAGTTCATGACTGTCACACTATGCTACTGAGTCTTTTTTGGGGTATTTTAACCCCTTGGCTTGTATACATTCACTAAGTGGGATTGATATGGCCTCCGTGGGACGGTTATTTTCTTGTGTGGATAAAATTAATGCCAAGCCTACGATCATGTTAAGTATATAATAACTATCTGAATTCCCCGTAATTCCAACCAGCGCATCTCTCCAGAAACAGAAACATATTTTGTAATAGCTGTACAGTTAAACCATAGTAAATAATGTCTCGTCTTCTGGGATTCGTCATGCTAGACAGAGAGAGAAATGGGGTTTAACGTCCACTCGACACAAACTAGGTCATTTCGGGACTAACATATTAATATGGTTTAATTTTATTTACATAATTCGCTTGCGCGTAGGGGTCTTTTTAGCAGTGGGAGGACCCAGAGAAAACCCACGTCATGCTAGACACTGGAGCGATCGGAAAATGAAATGGTGTTTAACGTCCTACTTCTCTGCTCCATCCGGGCTAATAAAAATGGGCAATACCAGCCTACTCTTATTTCGATTTCCAATTATGAACCGTGCCCACGTGTACACGGGACCTTGGTTCTTCGTTACATGCGAACGAATATAGGCAACACTTGTCAGGCCTCCACATACACCACTGACTTTAGGGGAAACCACGACCAGAATGAAGCTAACGAATTTTGTAGCAAGATGTTATGGATGAGACATGTTTCTAGAACACCTGATCTGATACCATTTCTCATTTATTTTGGAAGTTCAAATAATGTACACATTTGATGGTAAGTCAGTGGATAGTCAGAAAGCACAACCAAGACTGCGGTGGCATAGTAACTATAATAGAATAACCATAGATAACATTAGACCCATTTGCTGTAACAATTCAGTCTTACAAAATAAACACAAATCAGCAGGGGTTTTTATAAATTATACTTTTTTTAATTTTTAGGATGCAGAAAATTAAATAACATATTTTGAATCTGGGTGAAGGAAGGGATATTAAACCAACAGCCATGCACCAAACATAATTCATTTACATGTATTTAAACTGAAGGCATTACATGTAATTTGCTCCATTACCTGTATAAAAATTGTGTTGTTTACAGCTACCCTCATTCCTTTGAATTGTATTTCAGAAGACTCTTACACAATAGCTCTAATAATAATATGCTATTCTCTATGTCAATATGTCAAAGGATTTACAAATCTAAATTTTGCAACTGCAGAAATACTATCAAAACGATATCTTACATTCTGTAACTATGTTTTGGACCAAATTATATTCTTATTTGTATCCAGTTTACGCAAATGCAAACATTTTCTATCATATTATAAATTTCAATTAAAGTTTCTGGAATCCTGACTAATTTTTTGTAAATATAACCTAGTCAGATTTTAATCAAACACTCCAATTTGGCTTAAATTTGAATTAAACATATTACAATACTCAATTTCCACAAAGTGGCCTTGGTTAACACATTTACCAAGTGCAAGACCCCCGCCCCCACCCTTTAAATGATGTCTAGTTTTAAAATTAACAGAGCAACACAAGAGATATAAAGCATTAATTAATATTTATTATGATAATCTATGACAAGATCCATATTACAATATCCATGTTTTGTGGGTTTCTAGTTGTTTATGAGTAGAAATAACACTGTACTTATATAAACTGTTTTTCAGAACATTATTCCACTGATTTCTTAATTAAGAAAACAGAATTTACATTGATTCTCAACACATCTTTCTCAAAGTGAAGAAAATATGTAATCTTTAACATCATCCCAAAAATTTAAGAGATACAATTTAATTAATCTCTAACGGTAAACGCACAACAAATCCATTCTCTTATACACAACAAAGCTAAGAATTCGACAGAATGGCAATGCTGCTTATGTTATGATGTAGTCATGGGGTATAAAACATGGTTATTAAAAACCAAGGGTCAGTACAACTCCTACAGTTCCATGGAAGACGCAACACTATGCCAAGACTGACACCTGAACACCGAGTACAGGCCATTGCTCATTGTGTTAATTCAGGAGAGCATGAGTACCAGAGCTACTGGAAACCACATTTAAGCCAGTATGGAGAAGGATCCCACTAGCAGTCATTCAGAGGCTTATTGTCCCCGTGTGGCAGTGCTGTAGGGCATGTGTAGTGTGGTGTTGACACTTGTAATAGCCTCCATAAGTGGTTGTTCATTTTCTTGTGTCGGTAAATGTCAAGCCAACAATCTTGTTAGAAATTAAATTTCTGCTGCAGTGTCTCACCAGCACTTCTAGTCAAATCAGTGGATACTTTTCATTGTGTCTCTCTCATTCATTCAAAGGTCAAAATATATAATAATATTTACAGTAACAATAAGTATACCAATCAAGTTTATATAATATAACTATTCTGGTGCTTGGGAATCCTTCATTTAGAAAACAAGATAAGATCAATGGTCTGGATTCTTGTGACTACCACCAGTGTTAACTTAGTTTTTCCAGTTAATCATATTGCTTACTACCTGTCAGTACATTCATATATAACACTAACCATTAACTGTTTTTCAAAATAAAGTACATTAAATAGTGTGTTGAAATCTCACCAGAATTTAATTATTTTCACTGTTAGGCCAAAATAAAAAAATACCTGACCTACTCCTACCCTAATTTTTTTTTCTCATTTGTCAGGCTCTATAACTGGGTCCTGGCATAGTTTTCTGTGGACAAATACCAACACTGAGATTTCAGTATTATTTTCGAGAACCTTACACAGTTATTAAGCTCGAAATGCTAGGAAATAGAGAATACAAGCCCTACGGAAAAAAAACAAACTGATTTTCAGAACAACCGACCCTATTTTTGGAGGCCATGTAACTGGTATTCTTTTTCTAGGCCTTATATACTTTATAGTATTGTAGTACAATTTATCATCTCTTAAAAGCCAATATTGCAATTTAGACGCAAGTAAAAGGTTGATGTATACAAATTTGGACCCACTCTTTTCCCTTTATATGCTGAAAATAAGAGTTGCAGCACAGAAAAATAATGAAATAGTTACTAGTCCAATAAACTATTCACCAATACAAAGTAAGTTGAATTTGTATTTAATTCAAGCTGTTGAGTTTTATTTATGGAGGAGCTGGTGTGGGAGCAGGAACACTCATAAGAGGTGAATCAAGTTGTTGTTGTGGTGTAACTGGACTAGGCGTATGTGTTGATATTTTTACACTCAATTGTTGATAGAGGTTATGTACTGTTTCACTATGCTGAAAATAGAAAATTAATAAAAAAAAATATTACTGACATCTCATTATAGAAAATTAATAAAAGTATTATTGACTATTTTAAACATCTAATTAACTCTTGTAATTTTGAGATATACTTTTCATCTATCTATTATAAAGGACAAGCATGACATCTTGGATTTGAATGAAAAGTGACAATACGTGAAATGGTTTATAATGTTGTCATGCTATGTTCTATGAGGTAAATTTTGCCTGGACAGCAGTTACTCTACATTGAATTCCAACTATCAGGTTTCTGTTCTGCACCTGTGACAAGGGGAAACCAGACAAAAAATTTAACTATACAAGGACTTATCTGAAAGAGAGAGAGAGAGAGAGGACACAAACTAGGTCATTTCAGGACTAAAACATGGTTCAGTTATATTTCAACAATTCGCCTGTGTGTAGGGGTCTTTAGCAGTGTCACGTACAACCGGGAAATCGAAACCACGCCAGTTGACTCAATGACAGACCTTATGATACAGCGCGCACATGCTAACCATTCAGCCATCCAACCCCCCTACTTTGTACTAAATTTGATGTAATAATCACCGATGGTGTTTTTTTTTTTAAAAAAGAATCTCTATTAACTGCTGACAAAATATTTGAAAGTGGCATTTTTGAAGCATGAAACCACAAAATGAAAATTATTGTCATTCTATAAGTGTAACAGTTTGTTTGCAGATTTACTATTTGGCTATAAAAAGTAATGGCATAAAAATCATCATCATCAGATGGGCGTATATTAGAGAATGCAGTATTTTCAGTGCTGTTTTCATATGCAGGTACCATTCCAGCTGTTGGGTGAATTGTCTATTACCAAATGTAAGCAACATGATCATCTATTTTCTTACCTCTTCACTTGGTTGTGCGGCTGTCATAACATTTTCAAGTCTTGTTGGTGTTATCTTATGATGAACATACCATAACACACGTAACAAATGTCTTAACACACTTTCTCTAGATATAGCTGGCTATAAAATAAATGTAAACATATAATATTAATTAGCATTTCTCAGTCATAAATAATGAGGTCCATTGACATATTTCCTGTCAGTACAGAAAATACAGTAGCTACAGAATAAAGAACAGCCACCTCCAAAAAGAATAAATAAATAGTGATTCAAAACAATATATGTATGTTTTTCAATAATCTGCTGGCTGTATGTTTATTGAATAATCTGCTGGTTGTAGGTTTATTCAATAACATGCTGGTTGTACGTCTATTTAATAACCTGCTGGTATTTAAGGGCAACAAAATATGATAAAAGAAGTTCCTTTGATACACAGTAAAGCTGCTAAAATTTGCATTGAACATCATTACAATGTTTGAAGAAAATGAAAATCACTGAATTAGTAAAATCCACATAATAAATGCATTACTTGATGCTCTTTATAATCATTAAATACATTTTAGCTCATATGCTCTTTTTTTAATGCTAAATCTTAGATTTTAGACCCATATGTTCTTTATTAAATGCTACAGTTTAGACAAATACGCTATTTATTACATTAAATGCTACATTTTTGGGCCCATATGCTCTTAAATAAATGCTACATTTTAGACCCATATGCTTTTTATTAAATGCTATGTTTTTGGACCCATATTATGCTTTTTATTAAATACTAGACTTTTAACAGAAACTAGCAACATGACAAACTTACCATCAAGAAGTCATCCAATATAACAGATGTAAAATCATTGTGAGAGAAATCTTCTGGCATCTGTATTAGGTAAGATACGAAGGGATGTAAGAACGTATCATCGTAAGCCCGATCATTTTCACAATGCATCAAGGTGGGAATAATCTGACATGCTGCTACTCTATCTTTTATTCTCAAGGCTTGCAGTGAGTAGTACATAGCAATCAAACTAGCTATAGGGCTATCGATGATATACTCTGCATAGAGTTCTGATGGCAGACGTACAGGTACAGCAGTAGGATTAAAATCTTCCGATATTCTAGCTGTCGTAGATCTTATTTGATCATCTACAATCATTCCAACTATCATAGGTATAAACTTGGTAAACAATGATATGTCCTGAAAATATATCGAAATTTGTATCTATTAAATCTGGCTAAAATTATAAGGAATAATTTACATTGACACTAAATGCAATAAAAGTTTTCAATACCTGTATATACAAATTTTAAAGCCTATCAAACACCAACTTAGTAATTAAAGAAAACTTAAATCATTTAACATAAAATGATCATTCCTCTTAAATTTAGGTCAAAAATAAAAATGTTGATTTCATTGCATTTTATAAGAGAAAGTTTGCTTGATGACAAGGCTTAGATTCATTTTTATCTTACTGTATCAACACAAAATTGGTTATAAAATATAAAATGGGATGAAAACTTGCATAAGTTGTAAAACACAAGTAACAAAGCAATTTTGTGTTGAGATGATTAGTATAAATTCTACATGTATAGTGGTTTTCAAGGAGCTGAATGAGTTTATCTTAGGTCCTTAGATTTTCAATAATTAAAATAGGTCTACTAAGGCTGTTTTGTTTTTATTAAAATGACCATATCAAAATTAATTACATTTTCTTGGTGAGAATGATAATGGCATTTTAATTTTTTTTAAAAACAAAGCAAACAATAATAACTAATTATAAGCTGGTACATATTTCAGAAATTGAAGTTTTCACAAATAGAGCTCGAATCAATTTTAAAAGACTTTAACAAGGGTAAAAATCTAATACCAGTTAAGTCTTTAGCGGATAATCTTGAGTCAACGGTGCTCATTGTTGCTCATCCTAACATGAGAATCCTAACTCAACAGTTCAGCATGAAACAAACTTATAATATGGCTTAGTAAGATTTTGTTAACTTGTTTCAAGTTCACCCAGATAAGACATACCAGCTTAGGTTCTTTAAAACACTGACTATCTATCATACTCCATGCTCCAAGTCCTAGAGCCATCATTCTTATTAATAATTGAAGATCAATGTTTTCCTGCAAAAAATGAAACAATTTTTTTCATTATCTTTAAAATCATGTGCACACTGACACTGATGTTGACATCCCTTCTCTTTTCCCAATATAAATAATTTCTGATAGCAAAATCTAAGTAGAGAATTGCTGACACCGAAGAATTCACAGCAAAGTTATCCATAATTTAAGGTTTTCAGTTATTTGTTTTAAACTAGACAAGAAATCATTAAACATCAAATATATGTATTCATACTACATAGAATAGCAATTCTGCAGAATCATATCTCACCCTAGGTAATGTATCTGTATTAACACAATGTTGTAAAACTTTCATGGTTGATAAAGATATTGTGTTTAAAGCAAATGGATCACACAGAATCATAGACAAGTCTCTGAAATAAAAAAACAAACAAACAGATTTTAAAAGTTACTTTAACCCTTTAGCACTTAGGAAACTTAAAACCCCCCCAAACCGTCCTAAATAGGGCTTCTTAGATCGCCCTAAATCGTCACATGCACAGATATGGTGCCCATAGAAATAGTAAATGGTGCTATAATATGGAAAGCTATTCACATATCTCAAGCAGTTTGAGGAGGTCAAAGGAACAGCAGTTTAAAACTGTTTCGGTCTGTCCAGAGATGTACCAGTACTCTTACATTGTATATGTAAGTTCTATCCTTATACCTTCTGAATAAAAATCATAATATCTCCAAACTGAAAGTCTATTTATTAAAATCAGTAGTTTTCTCTTTAGGCAGAAATGAAATGGGGTTTAAGTGCCAGTCCACGAGAAAACCATGCAGAAATCGGGAAGGTGAGGGGTCGGCCGATTCCATTCATATTCACAGGGTTTGGTCATGCCCATGAGACTACTCGATAGCCAAAACCGCCGATCTCAGAAATTGACCATAGCTGAGATACGGCAAACAGGTGTTTTTTTGGGTTTTTTGCTCATTTTTTCGTCAATTTTAGGCAATGTTAGCTGCTGTTTTTCAGGTTGTAAATGAGTACTTATGAAACAAATGATGATTCGATATATTAGGATAGGTAGTAATGTTTCAAAAAAAGGAAAAAAGAAAAATCTATCTTTCCACTGAGGGGTGCTATTTGGTTATTCCTGAAGGGTATAAATCGAACCCTATAAAATACCCAACTTTATGGCCCGATATCTCCACTGCCGCGGGGTCCCATGAATTCTTTTTGTGGTTGTTAGTAAATGGGTACAAGGTCTCTCGATTAAAAAAACAAGCCAACAGTGAGGCTGATGTCCCCCGCCGAAATAGGAAAATAATTAGAGGACACATATAAATTATCACAAATTATCTTTTACAAAGTATTGAACAATCAATCGCTCTGCTTACCCTGAGCAGAAAATGCTCATTATCAAACTTAGTCAAGGTATTACTGTAATGAAACTATACACCAAGTTTCATCAATCTCACTTAATTAGAACTAAAGTTATCGTGTCCCAAAGCATCAACCAATCAAATTGCTTATCTCTGCTTACCCTAAGCGGAAAATGCTCATCTTCGAACTCCATCAAGGCATTGACCTAATCAACACATACACCAAGTTTGAACATTCTAGCTCAATTAGGAAGAGAGTTATCGTGCCCCAAAGTATCAACCAATCAAATTGCTTATCTCTGCTTACCCTAAGCGGAAAATGCTCATCTTCGAACTCCATCAAGGCATTGACCTAATAAACACATACACCAAGTTTGAACATTCTAGCTCAATTAAAAGTTATTGTGTCCCAAAGCATCAACCAATCAAATTGCTTATCTCTGCTTACCCTAAGCGGAAAATGCTCATCTTCGAACTCCATCAAGGCATTGACCTAATCAACACATACACCAAGTTTGAACATTCTAGCCCAATTAGGAAGAGAGTTATCATGTCCCAAAGCATCAACCAATCAAATTGCTTATCTCTGCTTACCCTAAGCGGAAAATGCTCATCTTCGAACTCCATCAAGGCATTGACCTAATAAACACATACACCAAGTTTGAACATTCTAGCTCAATTAGGAAGAGAGTTATTGTGTCCCAAAAAGTGTGACGGACAGACAGACGAACAGACAGACAGACAGACAGACGGACGAACCCATTTTAATAGTCCCCTGCTTTCTTCGAAAGGCGGGGGACAATAAAATTTCATATATCTTCATACGCATGCGCGATAACATTGTCTAAGTTTTGACAATTTTGATATTGGATCATCTGATATTTATATGTTCTAATCAATATAGTGACAAAATATGGATGCTAAACGACTCGATACCATCTGCAATTGACAGACTAGCGTTTCGAACTCACTCAGGCAGTCGAAGAACCCACTCTGTCAAAACTACCAGTTCTGGTATCCAGCCATCCAAGATCGTGGCTGCTGTATGTGGTTTTTCGCAGTTTTCTACTTCAAAATGTGGCGTTTTCACTGTGTATCCTAAAGAGACTGAGCATGTTTTATTGAAAGAGTGTACTAAAGACACCAGAGAGTATCTATCATTGGTAGCAGTGGATTTATTATGCGGACGCTAAATACTAAGAGTGATTACTGGTGATATCTGAGGGAGCGTTTCATTGATATTTACTATTTGTCAATGATAGTAACATTGTCCTGCTCATATTTAATTTTTCAATGATAGTAACATCATCCCGCTGATATTTACTATTTTTCAATGATAGTCCCGCTGATATTTACTATTTTTCAATGATAGTAACACCGTTTTGCTGATATTTACTATTTGTCAATGATTATAACACCGTCCTGCTCATATTTACTATTTGTCAATGATAGTAACATTGTCCCGCTGATATTTACTATTTGTCAATGATAGTAACACCGTCCTACTGATATTTACTATTTTTCAATGATAGTAACACCGTCCTGATGATATTTAATATTTGTCAATGATAGTAACACCGTTCTGCTGATATTTACTATTTGTCAATGATTATAACACCGTCCTGATGATATTTACTATTTGTCAATGATAGTAACACCGTTCTGCTGATATTTACTATTTGTCAATGATTATAACACCGTCCTGTTCATATTTACTATTTGTCAATAATAGTAACACCGTCCTGATGATATTTAATATTTTTCAATGATAGTAACACCGTCCTGATGATATTTAATATTTTTCAATGATAGTAACACCGTCCTGATGATATTTAATATTTGTCAATGATAGTAACACCGTTCTACTGATATTTACTATTTGTCAATGATTATAACACCGTTCTGCTGATATTTACTATTTGTCAATGATTATAACACCGTCCTGATGATATTTACTATTTGTCAATGATTATAACACCGTTCTGCTGATATTTACTATTTGTCAATGATTATAACACCGTCCTGATGATATTTACTATTTGTCAATGATAGTAACACCGTCCTGATGATAGATCCTGATATACACTGATGAGATTAGATTCATGAGGTACTTCCACTATTTTATCCTGATATTTTGTAAAAAATTATGAACGAAAATTTTATATGATATTTTGCGAGGGTTCATGAATGTAAATTTTGTATAATACTGTATTTGATATTTTGTAAGGAAAGGATTCATTGAATGTCTCTGATATATTATGAAAAATTATGAACGTAGTTTTTGTATATATTACATTTGATATTTTGTGAGGGTTCATGAATGTAATTAGATGTGATATTTTGTAAAGATTAGTATTCCCTCCCGAAAGTAAATTTTGTATATATTTGATATTTTGTGAGGATTAAGGATTGACTCACGAGGTCAATAACGGGCATTGCCCAATTTAGTATTTAATCTGTGATTGTATATTCTTACCTCAGAGAGCAATCTGCGCTTTCTGCTTTACGTACAACAAGTTAAAACAAGCCAACAGTGAGGCTGATGTCCCCCGCCGAAATTGCAAAATAAATAGATGACACATATTAATTAATCGCACATTTATTTTTTTCACTAAGTTTCATCACTCTCTATCAGATAGAATCAAGATTATCTTGTCCCAAACCATCGACAAATGAAATCGATTAGCTCTGCTTAGCTTCAGCTCGAAATGTTAATTATTGAACTCAGTCAAGACATTCACCGAATGAACATCTACATATACATCAAGTTTAAACATTCACCTAATAGACACCTATGCCAAGTTTGAACATTCTACCTCAATTAGAAGGAGAGTTATTGTGTTCCAAAGTTTCTACCAATCAAATTGCTTATCACTCTGCTTACCCTCAGCAAAAAATGTTCATTATCGAACTTAGTTAAGGTATTCATATAATAAATCTATACACCAAGTTTCATCAATCTCACTTAATTAGAACTAAAGTTATCGTGTCCCAAAGCATCAACCAATCAAATTGCTTATCTCTGCTTACCCTAAGCGGAAAATGCTCATCTTCGAACTCCATCAAGGCATTGACCTAATCAACACATACACCAAGTTTGAACATTCTAGCTCAATTAGGAAGAGAGTTATCGTGCCCCAAAGTATCAACCAATCAAATTGCTTATCTCTGCTTACCCTAAGCGGAAAATGCTCATCTTCGAACTCCATCAAGGCATTGACCTAATAAACACATACACCAAGTTTGAACATTCTAGCTCAATTAAAAGTTATCGTGTCCCAAAGCATCAACCAATCAAATTGCTTATCTCTGCTTACCCTAAGCGGAAAATGCTCATCTTCGAACTCCATCAAGGCATTGACCTAATCAACACATACACCAAGTTTGAACATTCTAGCCCAATTAGGAAGAGAGTTATCGTGTCCCAAAGCATCAACCAATCAAATTGCTTATCTCTGCTTACCCTAAGCGGAAAATGCTCATCTTCGAACTCCATCAAGGCATTGACCTAATAAACACATACACCAAGTTTGAACATTCTAGCTCAATTAGGAAGAGAGTTATTGTGTCCCAAAAAGTGTGACGGACAGACAGACGGACAGACAGACGGACGAACCCATTTTAATAGTCCCCTGCTTTCTTCGAAAGGCGGGGGACAAAAATGTTATGAGTTAGACCAACATGTATAAAACTACTCTACTACTAGTACCAATTGTTGCTGTTTGATATTCTGACATACACGTACACCTATTGCTATACATTAAGCCAATTGAAAAAAAAAATGTTTTTCGTTTATTTTTGGGGCTTTTTGTGAAGATGATGATCACCGTACTTTAAGAGTGTAGGACTACTACTTGTAGGTAGGGTATAGTCTAAATATAGATGATTAACTCGTTGGTCGCAGGTAGAGGTAAAGATAACATCGGTCCTGAAAATTGAAAGAAAAGACAAAATCTTGCCTTTTTAGTTGTGCTGACCTGGTCTTTTTTAGAGTGTAGAATTTATTTTCCAATCTTGGGGATTTAGGCCTACATTTTACTATTCAATGACTACTGTGAGCTATGACAGTTCTCTCAACTGCAGCTTATAATGAGATCTGTACATATCAAGAGATTTAAGAGTGAAATAATGCGAATTTTAGCAAATTTTCACTTCCAGTTGCAGTAAGAGTTGTCATACGAATATTATGTTGCGAAAACATAGCAGCTGTGAAGGCGTCTGTATTATACTACATTTGTTTGAATATCAGTTTGATAATATTGGGGATAAAGCTTCGTAAAACAGCTGCTGTTTTTCAGGTTGTAAATGAGTACTTATGAAACAAATGATGATTCGATATATTAGGATAGGTAGTAATGTTTCAAAAAAAGGAAAAAAGAAAAATCTATCTTTCCACTGAGGGGTGCTATTTGGTTATTCCTGAAGGGTATAAATCGAACCCTATAAAATACCCAACTTTATGGCCCGATATCTCCACTGCCGCGGGGTCCCATGAATTCTTTTTGTGGTTGTTAGTAAATGGGTACAAGGTCTCTCGATTAAAAAAACAAGCCAACAGTGAGGCTGATGTCCCCCGCCGAAATAGGAAAATAATTAGAGGACACATATAAATTATCACAAATTATCTTTTACAAAGTATTGAACAATCAATCGCTCTGCTTACCCTGAGCAGAAAATGCTCATTATCAAACTTAGTCAAGGTATTACTGTAATGAAACTATACACCAAGTTTCATCAATCTCACTTAATTAGAACTAAAGTTATCGTGTCCCAAAGCATCAACCAATCAAATTGCTTATCTCTGCTTACCCTAAGCGGAAAATGCTCATCTTCGAACTCCATCAAGGCATTGACCTAATCAACACATACACCAAGTTTGAACATTCTAGCTCAATTAGGAAGAGAGTTATCGTGCCCCAAAGTATCAACCAATCAAATTGCTTATCTCTGCTTACCCTAAGCGGAAAATGCTCATCTTCGAACTCCATCAAGGCATTGACCTAATAAACACATACACCAAGTTTGAACATTCTAGCTCAATTAAAAGTTATTGTGTCCCAAAGCATCAACCAATCAAATTGCTTATCTCTGCTTACCCTAAGCGGAAAATGCTCATCTTCGAACTCCATCAAATTTTCACTTCCAGTTGCAGTAAGAGTTGTCATACGAATATTATGTTGCGAAAACATAGCAGCTGTGAAGGCGTCTGTATTATACTACATTTGTTTGAATATCAGTTTGATAATATTGGGGATAAAGCTTCGTAAAATTGTCGAATTTATCCGATTTTTGTCATAATTACCCACTATTTTTGAGAGTGTAGTTATAGACATATAATGAAATTTAATTTTTTTAATCGAGAGACCTGATACCCAGTTACTAACAACCACAAAAAGAATTTATGGGACCCCGCGGCAGTGGAGATATCGCGGCATAAAGTTAGGGTACTTTGTAAGGTTTGATTTATACACTTCAGGAATAACCAAATGGCACCCCTGAGTGGAAAGATAGATTTTTTTTTCTTCATTTTTTTGAAACATTACTACCTAGCCTAATATATCGAATCATCATTTGTTTCATAAGTACTCATTTACAACCTGAAAAACAGCAGCTAACATTGCCTAAAATTGACGAAAAAATGAGAAAAAAGCCCCAAAAACACCTGTTTGCCGTATCTCGGCAAGGGTCAATTTCTGAGATCGGCGGTTTTGGCTATCGAGTAGTCTCATGGGCATGACCAAACCCTATGAATATGAATGGAATCGGCCGACCCATCACCTTCCCGATTTTGCATGGTTTTCTCGTGGACAAGCACTTAACGTCCTACTGTTCTGCTCAGAACTGGGCTAATGAAGACAGGCATACGCCATACAGTGTGCTATAAGGGAAATTTTGCCTAGACAGCGGCACTACGGCCTACTCTTATATCGAATACCAACTGTCAAGGGATCTTTTAAGTGCATGCCAATGTGTACACGAGACCTCGGTTTTCCGTCCCATCCGAACGACTAGACAGCTGTCCTTGTCCGGCCCTTCGTCCTGCATCACTGACAAGGGGGAACCACACCGGAAAATCTGGATGAACTTTCTCGGCCAATGCAGGGAGGGAACACCCAACCTCCAGGCTAGCGAGCCAGTGTCTTACCCACTTAGCCACCATGGCCCCACGATCTTTTTAAGCCGTTTTGCAATCAATATGTATTGTAATATGATTTTCAGATGCACTACTCTTTGTAGAAAATTATTTTCAAATAATGCTTACCCCAAAACAAATTCTTGTCCTTTTTTGATTCCATCCAAAAATCCTTGCAGTTCTCTGGCTCTGTTAGCATTGACGATTCTCTCTCTAATACAGGCATCTACGCACCAAGTAAACTTATGACATGGATCAACAGAGCATATTTCATTGATTTCTAAATCATGTATAGCCATTAATATTTCTGCACGTAATGTACAGTAATGGTTGTTTCTGGTTCGTAAAAATAATGTACGTAGAAATTGCAACACCATATCATAAAGCTTGACATTTTTACCAATCATATGAACCAGTTTTTGTACAACTTCCCCCTGTCTTCTGTTTTTTGGGATAGGACTGTAAAATGTCAGTGTGCTATTTTCATGATTTAATAAAGATGAATCTTTTTCCCGAATATATTGTGATAACAGCGGTGAGACTTCGTCACCAAATAAGGATTGATTATCCTGCCAGATCTGTCGCTTTACTTCTGTAGCTGCCTCAGCATAAAGTTCTGGATCTTCTAATATGATCTTCAAATAGTCTGGTTTAATTTCTGGCAGATGTTTTAAGATGCACAAAACAACAGGTCGCACAGTTTTAATTTTAATAACTGGAAAACTTTTTTCTAACAAACTTTCTAATTTATCAAACTTATCATTTCCGCCATCAGATGCCAGAGTTTTAATTCTTGTGGTTAATTTATCTATCATCTGATCCAATATAGACGTGTGGAATTCAAGACGTTTAATTCCATGAAGGTCTAAGAAAGGTAATGCTGGCTTTAATGAAGGAAGCAAAATTCCATTTTCATTTTGAAATTCTTCAATGGCTGCTAATGGATCAGAACAATTAGTGAGTGCTTCTCTTAAATCTTCACCCCCAGGTATTCCTAATTTATCTAAGCCAGATGCCATCTTCCCTGATCTGAAATGGAAGATAAATATTTAAAAATGTCTTCTTAGAAATAGAACTCCAGATTTACTCTACTCAGGAAGTTCAAATAGCCAATAATTGTTTGAACATCTACATGTATGTAGAAAATCTGTAGTGATGTATTACTATTTAGTGCTAGGAGGGTAAAAGAGAGAGAAATGGGGTTTAACGTCCACTCGACACAAACTAGGTCATTTTGGGACTAACAGATGGTTTTTCATTTTATTTCAATAATTTGCTTGCGCGTAGCGGTCTTTAGCAGTGAGCAGTGGGAGGAAACTGTAGGACCCGGAAAAAACCCACGAGGTTTGACGGGCAACCCTACTGCTTGTCGCGTACAATCGGGGAATCGAAACCACACTAGTTGACTCAATGACAGACCTTATTCAGCATGCGCGTGCTAACCATTCGGCCATCCACCCACCCCCCCACCCCCAACAGACTGCTATATTATATGTTTTAGAGTTGTTTATTGCAGTTTTGGACTAAATTACATGTAGTTTTAGGCTGGATTATTAGTCTTCAATTACTACATTATATTGCCAATGAATGTTGCCATAAGAATACTGGAAAGTCTATTTCTAAAGTCAAAAAAGAAATGAAATGGGTTCTAACATCTGACTGCAACTGTAATCTCATTTGGAATTTAGTGGACGATTAAAAAAAAAATATCTTCATAACTAATTTCCAAATGGGATTATACTGCCTCTGCTAATGAAGACAGTAATACACCAGGTGTGCTATGAGGGAAATTTTGCCCAGACAGCTGCAGTACAGACTACTCTTATTTTGAATTCCACCTGTCAAGGGTTCTTTTTAGTTGTTATGTGCACACCAATGTTCACACGGGATTCTGGCCCTTGGTTTTTCGTCACTTCCGAACAACTTCATGTTGTCCCTTGCCCATTTCTATATTCAGCAACGGCTTGACGTGAAATAAAAGCTTTATTTTTCCGGAGAGATGCTTGTTCTATACCATCTTCGCTAGCCAAGGGTTACAATTTACTTCTCTTAATCGTAACCTTTGGCTAGAGAAGATGGTTCTCTACATCTATTCTTTTTTTCAAATACATAAATTTATACACTTATGGGGCATTTCTTGGTGAAATAAGGAATAGATTAGTATAGAGTGAAGCTCTTTTCCGGTAACACAGGAGCGTAACTAGAACTGTCACCCACAGACTGTTGATTACGCGTCTCATAGAAATATTTCTATGATGTCGTCTAATCAATGACGTCCCATATTCTTTTCGTCAATGAAAATAATTCTCACACTTTTTTTGTTCTTTTTTTTCAAAACAAAATCAATCCTTCAATTTAGCATCCCAAACTTAGTCTGCCTGTCTACAGTTAGCTCTGTCTGAGGTATAAAGTAGATGGATCACTGTGTGCAGTATGACAGTTTAGATCTAAATTTAACGCTATTATTTAACATCACTTGGACTCTGAGTCTTGGAGTTGAAGTTAAGAAGTTAAAAGTTATAATCACAATGTTAACAAAATCACATCAGCTTCGCTCTACTCAGGCAATGCCTGTTACATATTAGAATTGATAGCCATTTGTCTTAACGTTTATGGAAATAATCTATTTTTGTTGTCAACGCTAGAGTACCTGCAAAATTTATTAGTAGATCTAAATTTTACCTACAAATAGTACAAATCAAAACAAACTATTCACTTCAACAAGCGTCACCTTTATTATCTTTTTCAAGATAAGAGTGTCATTAAAGGGAAGTAACCAAATCATTTTTATGGATGCAGACCACCAAAGAATTTATTTTACAATGGAAATTTTATGATCATATAAAAATTCTCAAGGCTTACCAAGACTTCTTCTCTCCTGCCGGAATCAGTCTTTGGAACAAACTGCCAACTCATATTGTGGATGCCGATAACCTGGATATCTTCAAGTCCAGGATCAAAATGTTCCAGCCCTAGGCAGCCATGTCTGTTTTTATCCTGTTTTTAAATAATGTGAACTCGCCACAACATGATTTTAATCTTTTAACCATGTGCGAATATGTTCAACCCAGAACCCGGCACATTATTGAAAGAAGAAGAAGACGAATCAAATTGGAAATAGGCCTATCATCCTCGTAAACACACATCACCAGGGACTTGCGAAGTCTGATTGGGAACATTTTCGGATGGACCCCAAGGTCTTGTTTTGACTTGATTTCATTGATCTTGATTTGATATAGGCCTTGTTTGCAATGTCTGTGTATATTGTGTCTTGTTCGTGTGTTTGTCTTGTGGGTTTGGTGTATGTGTAGTGCGGAACTCCTTCACTTAATACTATAGAGATGATTTATTAAAAGTTACCAGAATTGTAAGGAGGTATTTTTGAAAGTAGTTTTACATGACAAGAGCTATAGATTACTCTAGAGTTTCACCCCGTTAGGCCCATTTGGCATTACCCTTCCATCTATTAATCATGAACATTCACCAAAACCTGACAGAAAGATAGAATTCAAACAGTGTACTTCAATTCTTAACAAAAAACTAAACAAAAATTGTGACCATGCGAAAGAGGGGAATTAAGGGAGGGTTCTGGAAACCACGATATGGAAATATGAAGGTGTCCCAAACCCACCCACCATAATCTGAGACAATTTGAAGGTAGGTAAGACAAGCTTGACCTCACTGGTTAATTAAAACAACACATGACTGGCTATGCATTATGCTTTTGCAAGGCAGGATATAATTAGAAAAGCTATAAAAATTTTGCCTTAATATATTGCTGGAAATTTTAACTGAAAAAAGCATTTTTGCAAAGAAACAGAATTATTTTTTCAGATCATTAAAGTGTGGTGGCTATGTAAGGGTGTAAAAACCCTAACATAATTAGGTTTTAGTAAAATAAGGTCTCTGTGATATTGAATTTGATACAAAAATACCATTAAACAACAACAAATTTTTTCCAATTTTTTTAATATAATTCTTAATAATAAAATACTTAAACATCAACTATGCACATTAATTAGCTGTAAAAGGGTGCCACCTCTTCAAATTGGGTGATATATTAATTAAGTAGTGTCAATTTGATTAAATCTTGTGTAAAAAAAATTTGTGACAAGGATATCTTTCTAAATTAATTTCTCATGGATAAAATCAATCATTTCAACATGATGCTTTTACCATTTGACAGATAAAGTCATGGTAAAAACAAACTTTTAGTATAGTCAATATTCTCCACATACTAATAAAATATTCAGTTAACTGCAGTTGTAAAAGTTACAATTTTCTCTTAATCTAAGGTATACCTTTCATATTTTAAAGCTAAACTTTATTCAGTTAAAAAGCTATAGTAGATAACCACCTCAGTTAACTGCAGTTGTAAAATTAACAATTTTCTCCTAAGCTAATCTAATTTATTTATTTTAAAGGTAAACTTAGTCAATTAAAAGGCTATAGTAGAAAACCATCTCAATTTTAAGAAGTCTTATGCCCAAAAACTCTCTGAAATAAATACCCAATTCAGAACTTAAAGTTTCTGTGCGTCATTTGCATTTTTTGGAAAATGGAAAATTTTCCACTGTTTAATCCAAGCTAAAATGTACTCATATTGGTTATTTAACATTTAATTAAGAAAACAAAATCAAAATATCAACTGTAAATAACATCCCAATTGGAATTATCTCAAGTTAGGTTGAGTTGACTTTTGACCAAATCCCGTTTATGCAGCATTTTGACAAATTTTCAGTGCATCATATCCTTGTAACTACTGAACAGAATTAAACCAATTTTGCGTCTAATATTACCTTTAGAAATTCAACTTTCATAATATCATAGTCTGCAATGGATTGTGTAATTGCTTAAATGGCATTTAGAGACTTTAATGTAAAAGATCAACCTTAAAATTAAGGTACCTTATTAAGCATAAAGAAAAAATGTTATTTTTCTATAATTTGTTTGTCATGTCTACATTATTCTCACAATAGATAAATCTATACATGCGGTCAAACATTTTAACAACACATTTCCTCAGCTTCTCAAAAATGTATACTTTATTATCAATACACAGCCAATTGTGTAAGAAGTAATGGAAGCCTTCAGCTCAGGTACCTTAACTCTCCTCAATCAAATACAAATTTGAGGTAAATACCTTTAACAGCTGTGGTTAACATGAAGATTTTAACCATAAGTTAATTGAAATAAACTGAATATAGATCCGCATCAACAATTTAATGCTTTATTTTTTACCATAAGAGAGGTGTCGCTTATTAAGTTACATTTGCAACATGCAGCAGTATAAATCTTAAAAAGATACAATCGTAACTTAAACAACACAACATATTTACTATATATATATAAAGATTAAAATATTTTATTGATGTAAATATACCGGTACTAGAGATTCCAAATACAAAATATTTGTTATTCACCTATACATCAAAATTTAACAATATTTGTAATTCAACTCGCAAAGGCAGAAAGATGAAACCATAGAAGCAAGACACCAGTCTGTTCCAAAATACAAATCAATAAATCTCACTGTTTTTTTATGATTTAGCACCCAGTAGTTTCTATGTCTGCACATGGCACAAATATTTTTTAAAAAATCACATAAAAGGTGATTTCTTTCTTTGAAATATAAATATACATATAAAGGCATCAATGTAACCAATAGGCTTTTTCATCGAAAATTTGGAAGACAGTTTCTTGCATGTTACTAGGGCCAATATATATATTGATACAGATCCTCTGCAATGTGTTTTGAAACACGTAATTTGGCATATCAATATTTTCACTCTACTTTTGTTTGCAAATACATTTCTTATGGTTTTCATTCTATTTATATCAAAACACACTTTCTATCAGTTGACAATAGCATCACAAAAGTGTATGTTAATTATTGGTAATATGCAATATTGTGTCTATTGAAACCTCATCTATCAAAAATAGGGTTTTACAATATAATGCAATATGATTTTGGGTTGCAATACACAGCCCTACATTTCAATAATGTGGATTAGCTTACAGAATATCTTCTTGTAAACAAGTCATATTTCGAAAAGGTATTACAGTAAATATGTATGAATAAACAAGCAAAAATTGTATATAACATGATTTAAACATTGGCATATATCAAAATATTTGCATAATAATATTTCAAGAACACTAAGAAATAAATAATCATTCATCTGACCTTTGAAGTTTAAACAAAAATTTCAACATAACAGAAATTAACTGTATTCAAATCAGACTGGTGTACATATTCAAGAAATAACAATAAGGTGATTAAACCAAATCAGTTTTAAATTGTTTAACTGAATAGACATGCATCAAACCAACAAGAGAACTTTATTTTAAGAAAAAAGATATCAATTTCTAGTATTTTGAAGAAAAATACTGTCTAACAAGGTGAGAGATATGAAATTCAAAAATTAAGAAAATTCAAGGAATCAGGAATTCTGCTAAATTGAATAAAATATAACTAAGACAACATTAATATATTCGAACAATATAAATCAACCCTGACAAATGAATTAAATATGACTAAGACAACACTAATTCATTCAAACAATATAAATCAACTTCAAAACTAACAGAGCAAACACAACTTCAACTAAAAGCATACAAAATTTACATAATGTCTGGATAGTGACCCTTGCTGGAATCCCTTTTTGCCTCCTAGTGCCTCAAACATAATAATTAGATTGTACACACATTTTATTCTGAAAGGCCAGATATTATAAATCCATATGACAAAGTTGTAATTGCTTATAAAACTAGTGTCTCTTCTTCATTGTAAAATATGAAGTTAGACTCGTAAAAATTTATCACAGAATTGCTGGTAGTTCATCACAGTTCCAACACCTACATCTTCATCCATACAGATAAAATCTTCCAGATTATTGGTGCTTTCTGAAATAAATATAATCAAATTTAATCAAATGAATACCTTCTTTTTGATTTTCTGTACAAAGACAAAAATTGTCAGCTATACAAACACAAAAAGTTGCACAAACAAAAACCTATCTACAAACTAAGACTAGAGGAAAAATTGTTTTCAAGATCCTAATGAATTACATACTAATAGACTAGCAAATTTAAATTGTTTTCATTCAGGTGTGGCCTATTGCCCTACTTTTAGTCTACCTGCTCAAAAAAAAAGAGGCAGAAAATTTAATGATCATAGGAGTAAAAATTTCCCCGATGGCACAAGTCATGCCTGAAACAATGCACAATAAACAGACCTTTAAAGAAGCATAAAGAGTGAATCAAGTATCCAAAATATTTTTGGCAATTATTTTTATGATGATTTCTCTAATTACCTGCTGTCTTGATTGGAGGATAGACTGGTGGTGGAGATAAGTAGTTACCATCTTTCATATTTATCATATGACATCGATCTGATGCAAAAGTTTTCAGGAATGTCTCAGCACTAATTACTCGGAATAACCTTCATGGAAGGAAGAACCAAAAATTATGTTCTATCAATTGAAGCTTCTATTACTAATAATATACATGTATTGTCATATACAGGCTTTTCCAATATGAAGGTTTCAAAGTAACAATAAGCCTCCAGTAAATATTGTCAACCTTTCATGAAAATCAACAGTGGGTTAATCTATAGGGTTTCCACGATTTCAAATTATCTGCCCTGGCCTTCATTGTAGCTAAACATTCTGTTATGTTTATTATTATTGAACTTGTATTTGGCAATTTGATTCTCAATAAAAAGGGGTGTTGGGATGGCCTAGTGGTCTAGAGTGCCGCGCTTCGACCTTTAGCTGGTCGGTCACCTCTGGCTTGCGGTTGTGGTTTCGATCCCAGGTGTGAGCGTATGTGGCTTGGAGATAGGGGCGCCTTCTCAACCTCGTGGGTTTACTCCGGGTACTCTGGTTTCCTCCCACAGGAAAGACCCTGCGTGTGCGCTAAGATAATGAAAAATAAAGACTTGTCTGCGATATCACCTTCGGTGGAAGCGGACGTTAAACATTAAGAACAACAACAATTCTCAATAAAACTCCTGAACCTACATATTATACTCTTCAAAAAACGTAGGGGATATTCAGAAACAATACAAAACTGCGGAAATGCACTGCTGTTTTTATTAGAGGTAACCAGTGTATGTTAATAACAGGCCAATTTTTGTCTTAATAATGAGGGGGATCGCGTGGCTAAGTGGGTAAGACGCTGGCTCGCTAGCCTGGAGGTCGGGTGTTCGATCCCTGCATTGGCCGAGAAAGTTCATCCAGATTTTCCGGTGTGGTTCCCCCTTGTCAGTGATGCAGGACGGAGGGCCTGACAAGGACAGCTGTCTAGTCCTTCGGATGAGACAAAACACCAAGGTCCCGTGTATACATTGGAATGCACGTAAAAGATCCCTTGGCAGTTGGAATTCGATATAAGAGTAGGCGATAGTGCCACTGCTCGGGCAAAATTTCCCTCATAGCACACTGTATGGTGTATGCCCATCTTCATTAGCCCAGTTTAGGAGCAGAACAGTAGGACGTTAAACCCCATTTCATTTCATTTCATTTCATTTCATTTCTTAATAATGAGTAATTGCTCCACCAATCCTCAGACATTCAGCAATTCGTCGTGGCATGCTCCTAATCAACCGTCTAATCACGATTTGGGGCAATCTGACCCACTCCTCTTGCAGTGCCACAGTCAATTCTTGCAGTGTTGTGGTTGACGTTGATATCGACGAACACGTCTCCCGATCAAATTAAACGTAACACACTAAAGCAAAGATATGCTAAACAGTAAATCTTATGCAAGAACTGATAGGAAAGCAAACTGGATAGATAAACTAGAATGCGACAGTTTTCATCAACCCTTCCTTGAAGTATCAAATTTGACAATGAACCCCTCCCATGTGTATGGCTCTATTGCGTGTCACATGTGCAGCTCAGTGGTTCTGTTGGGGAGATAAGTTCTTCATCTGTGAACATACTCTCAAAGCATGTCAAGTGTCCATGACTATTTATCATATCACAACCTGCATAGGTATTTGCACTTCAATATCCCCTACTTTTTTTGAAGCGTATATATAAACACCTGTCCAGTCTTCATTAATATATTATAAAATAATTGTGATTTGTTGTTAATAAATACGCATTTAGTATAATTTGGACTTCTCTCATTTAGGCTATGTTATGGCTAATTCCTAACCTTGTCTCTCAAAGGGGTGCCTTTGCGTTTTGCTTACTTTACCCGATGAGAGTTATATCCCTTTGCCAACTAACTTGAAAATGTGCCCCCCCCCCATAGATTTACCCAGTGGTTAGTGGAGTAGAACAGAATGAGACCACTGGGGATACCGAGGATGACCAAGATCTGGCAGCGTAAATAAAAGACCCGGGGCAGATAATGAGCTCTATTTGGAATCAGTTTGGACCTAATATAATTATTCATTTTTGGCTATATGATGATACCTTCTAAAATCTTCATTCAAATTCTCTTCACTTCTGATAGCAGAGATAATATAATGTTCTGAAGAGCATGGAAAGGTCAGGGTTGTGTCAAGGTCATATACCAAAACTTTATGGTTATCTTTAAAGACAAATATCACATGATAGTCCTGAAACATAATAAATATAAATTATAATATTGATCAAAAACTAAACCTCCGAAAACAATTTTTAACTGTAACTGATATTTTCCAAACATTTAAGAACTAATCTCGAAGGGTTCTGATTAAAATACAGATCTATATTTCATTACATGAAGAACTGACAAGTTGTTGTGGAAGGTCGAGTCAGGTGTCATACAAGTGGCTTTTGACCTTATGACGTCTGATATTGATTAATCAATCAGCGTTGTTGTTTCTAGTGGTTTACCCACAGTCCCATGCACCTCACGCCAAAAAAATGCCGCAAAAGAACGTTTCATTGGCTAATCCCTTACATCATCCAGAATGTGGGTTATATAACAACTCTTTCAGATCTCAGTGTAGTAAAGACAAGTAAAACGAAATTTTGACCAAAAAAACCCAATCAAAATAGGATCTGTGTTTTAATCATATTGAGAAGATAGCTTTATTCACATCCACATTTCAGAGAGAGAGAAATGGGTTTTAACGTCCACTCGACACAAACTAGGTCATTTCGGGACTAACATTTGATTTAATTTTATTTCAATAATTCGTAGGGGTCTTTAGCAGTGGGAGGGAACCGGAGGACCCGGAGAAAACCCACGAGGTTGGACAGGCGACCCTACTCCTTGTCACGTACAACCGGGGATTCAAAACCACGCCAGTCGACTCAATGACAGACTTTATGATACAGCGCGCGCACGCTAACCATTCAGCCATCCAACCCCTCCTACATTTCAAAGCAATCACATAGTTGGAAATAAATGATAACAAAAACAATGTGAAAGTCTAAAAAGACATGCATAAAAATAATTGTTTAAAGGGACAATAACACTCTTGCTGGCTTGAAAGCTCCAGAAAATAAATAATATCTCTATCTAAGTACTAGTTGTTTAAGTGTCCTACCTGTTGTATAAATTATCCATTACATCCTATTTTACTTGTCCACAGGGTTCGAAAATATTTTTAAATTGAAGTTTCATTTGAAAAGGTTTACGTTAGACATTTCAAACCATTATGTTGAATTTTTCAAAATTTTTAAATAAGGTGTGTTAAGATGAAATTTGTATCATCAATTAATTGAAATATTCTAAAATAGTACAATTTGTTGACCAGAATAAAGATTGGGACATATTATTCAGTTACAACAAGAGTGGTATTGTCCCTTTGGTATTATTTAGCTCGCATACAGCTAAATAACAAAATCTATGTCAGTGTGTCTTAAAGGGAGGAAATCTTTCTTGGAAGCATTTAGGAATTATTTTAATAAAAATGTTCATTGAAATTCAGCAGACAAATATCAGCTGCCAGGCAAACAAAAATATATCCCCCCCCCCCCCCATAAAAGCACAGATTGTAGGTTGATGTGCAGAATTAGATGAAACCAGCAATATCTTCATGATTAATCTACAGACAGTGCCAAAATTATTTAGAATATATATATGGTTACATATGATCATGACCAGGGATTCTCATCTTCAATAAAAGGCTTGACCTTGCATTAATTCCGTACATCTTATCAAGCCCTTCACATAACACCCTGCATATTTCGGCACTAATTTCGATTGGATACTGACTCAGCTGGGGAGCCTATCAAATTCCTCGATTATCGCAAATACCAACTATCATGCTTTCCAGCTAAAATGTCTACCTGTGATAATCGAGTTGCAAAGTTCAAGGTTCATTCAATGTCAAGATTTCCATGGAGGTCGCCATGTTTGATCTGAGTGTGTTTGTGTCGCAACCTCTGATTGGATGCTATCGTTCACGTGTCTTTGTTAAAGAGAGGTAACATAGCTATAAGTTTAGAAATTGCAGACCAGTCAAGCAACATCTGATGTTGTAAAACTTGCGGTCGTTGCTTCAGGAACATGAGGGATTCTATGAACCAGACACAACTATAAGCAACTACCATTGATGATACCCTGTAGTGATTCATACATATTTACATACCCATAAAACTAATTTATCATCCCTTTTACTATGCTTCTGGCTCCACAAAGGTATCTAAAAAAAAAAATCAAATGTCTGTGGTGAAATCTAATCAAAATGGGATCATATAAAATTGTTCTAATGACAATTTTTTTTTCTTTACATAATAATCTAAATTAAAAGAATTATATCAGATTTGTTCCATACAAAGTGTACTTTGTGAATGGTTCCTGAATTGATCACCATAGTAATTACCTGTCTTTTTTTATTTGAGATGAAAACACAGAAACAGTTGGATAGAACATCTGGAGTTCTGCCTTTTATGAAATCACATAATTTCCATACATTTTCTTCACTGAAAAAGTGAAAATTTATATCTTATTAATACTGATTTAAAGACAGGCAACACAAATTAGGAATATAAATGCTCTAACTCATTCCAAACAAGACAGCTTAGCTAATTAAAATTATCACCCAGTAAACAAATAATTTGTATTCCTCTCATGCAATAACTTATATGGCTGATTCTTTTGCAGCTGTTAAGGTTCCAGAAAATAGTAAAACCCATGTGACTTATAACATCTAAACTGCTCATAGCTGTCAAGGACTTATGATCTAAAAAACCATCAACCAGAATTAAAGTATGTGTCAGACATTTAGACTACGGTAGAAATGCCTTTTGAAGTTGATCAAAATTAAATCATACTTCATTAGAACTTATTCACATGATTTGATATTGGTTGTTCATTTCGAGCAATGTCTGTGTATTCTGTCTTGTCTTCAGGTTAATTTTGTAGGTTTTGTTTTACACCATTTACCTGTAGTGGGGTTCTCCTGCACTTACTGTTAAACACTGGTATATATTACAATCTTTAATTGGTCATGAACATGTGCAGTCATTTTTAATTGTCAAGACAATGTAATATGTATGTATAGTATTATTAGTATACATGACAAGGCAGGGCAGGGCTATTGACATTGTTTCACAAGCCAAAACTAAAAGGTAGGCCTAGGCTATACATTTTAATAAAATTTTCATCAAAATAATAATAATCAATTAAATATCATCATCATTATTATATTGTAATTTGTGTTGTATGCTTTACCATACCCGTGTATATGTCATGCAGTTGTGTAATAAAGCATTATAATTATTATTATCATTATAATATATATTAATATTATCATATTCATAGAAAAGGAGTTTAGTCCATTTCTGATGATTTTCTTTGATATTACCAATAACATTTCGTGTAAACGCAGTCAAGTCTATCTGGCAAAAAATTGTTAGGTACAATTGTCGCCATTTATTTCATAATAAACTATTCTTCTAAATTCTTTAATTTTTGATGAGCAACTTATTTCACGAAAACGAAAGTAAGGGAGCAGTACGTTCACATTTAGTGCAAAAAGATTTCATGGTTGAATAATTATGAGTAACTTAATGTTTTTGCATCTCTTTTAATTGTTTATTATGTAATTATTCATATAAAATAATGTTACAACTTAATAAGGCATAAGATACGCGTTTAACAAAGGCTAATACATAAAACAATGATACCCCCTTTCCGGAACTACTCTTCTATGTTTGAAAATCAAACTCGGTGTATTGTATATAAACATTACCCTTTGATCTCTCCCAAATTATTTTGTGATAAGGAGTGATCGCAACAGTTTTTACGCAATGGCAGGCTTAAGAAAATTGGGAAACATCAAGCTAAATCAAACTGCGTTCTTTCTTTGTGATATGCAAGAAAAATTTCGACCGTCAATTAAGTATTTTGCAGAAATAACGGAGGTTGCCAAACGATTGGTAAGGACGAAGGAGCATATTACAATATTAATCATGAAGGTCTGGGCCTATATATAAGATAAGCTGTGTGGCCTCAACGTGGCTATTTTAGTCACTTCTTTTAAATTGTTATATTTAATTGTGTGATCCCAATTGGAAGCCGCTGTGGATCGCTAACAAGGAGACCTCGGGTCCACTGACGGTGTTGCCCGAGAGAGTAAGCTTACCTTAGCCTCATGATTTTCCGATGATGATAAGTTAGTTGTATTTTACGTCCGCTTCCACCGAGGTGATATCGCAGACAATGACGTGTTATGTGTACAAGGTGCATTAATTTACAATGTGACTAGTGAGAAATAATAGGATAGTTAGGTTTTCATATATATGTACATAGGACAATAAACAACAGTAGGATAACATGTGCAAAGGACGAGACAGGTGCCAGTAGGCGTTCACAAGCATGCGATTTGACGGAACAGACGTGGACAAAGACGGACATTTTCACAGACATAGACATATTATGTACATATATATATATTTTGGGTCGTTTGGGTTGGTCTGGTCGTTCTGTCCGGTAGAATGGCAGGGCGGTGCGCAACTCTACCTTGGGGCTTTGTTGGTGAGTATGAGTCCTGGTCCATTCTTCCTTCCATTTGGGTATGTTGTCCGGTATGGTGGCGTTGTTACATCTTTATTTCTGTTATTCATTCCTTTTATTGTTGGTTCTCTGAAGGAATGATTTTCCGGCATGGTTTCCCCTTATAAGTTGTGGAGGAGGTAGAGTGCAGGACAGAGGGCCTAGCAGGGACAGCATCTAACCATTTGGATGGGATGGAAATTTGAAGTCCTGTGTACACATTGGCATGTATGTAAAAACAAAACCCTTGTTGGAATTCAATAAGGTAGGCCCACCTTAGCACAGATTCCCCGTGGAAAAATTTCCCTCACAGCTCACTGTATGGCGTAGGCTATGCTTGTCTTCATTAGTCGGTGCAGAAAAGTAGGACATTAAACCCCATTTTATTTCATGATGCAAAGGGGTGTGGTATCAGTTTTAGCGACCCTCTGTATAAAGTGAGGAATTGCATTGATTTGTTATTCTAGTTATATCTTAAGTAGGGCGACTGGGTTCTGTCAAGGTTTAAAGGGGCCATAATCCATGAAGTTACTGTCTGATATGCACGAATATCAAAAGGAACCGAGATCTTTGGGTTATAAACATAAATATCAAGTTTCATCAAAATCGGATAAAAATTGTGACTTCTACAGTATCCACGAGCTAAAAACATGATTTTTCGTACAATCAGGGGCCATAATTCATGAAGTTACTGTCCGATACATGGCAATTTCGAAAGAAACCAATATCTTTTTGAGATACACCGATATTTCAAGTTCCGTTAAAATCAGATAAAAATTGTGACCTGTAGAGTGTCCACAAACAAAATATGAACGGACGGATGGACAGGGGCGACGACAATATACCTCCACATGAAAATGGAATATGTACATGTACCTCAACGAAATGAACCTTTTAAAAATCGACTGTTATCTTTTCTAATGCCACAAGCTCTCGTCGTTACCCGTCTAATGTCACTGGAGGTGGCCCAACATGCTATGATATACACAGGGCAGTGTTATAATTTCCAGAATACCCTACTTTCAGTGTGTAATACTAATTTATTATAGGTAGCAGGAAGCAAGATATTAGATATACCATTGATCGTAACAGAACAGGTAAATATGTTACATTTTATATACAGGCTCCTTTCTTTTGGCTCGCACAGTTAAGATGGTTTTATTGTGGAAGCTCTAGAGAATACAGTTAAAATCAAAAGACATGCCATCTGTAATTTTTGCTGATATATTTTACTGGGCCTCTTTTTAATCCAAATGAATCCAATGTTATCTATTATTGATATTTTGATTTTTTGTCTTAAATGTTAAATAATCAAATTACTTAAGCATGGATTAATCCGTGAGCATGGATTAAACCATGAAAAATTAGATATTGTCCGAAAAATAAAATTGATGATCAGAGACTTTTAAGTAATCTTGCTTTTATTGAGGTTTTTCTTTTTTCAGTATCCTAAAGGCCTTGGTAATACTGTGAACGAGTTGGACATTTCCCATGCCACCCAAGTTTTTCCCAAAACAAAATTTAGTATGGTGTTACCAGAAGTTGAAGAAACAATGAAAACACTCAGGAATGGTTCATTAAAACATGTTGTTTTATTTGGCATCGAGGTGAGTGGGTTTCTTTCATTGGTCACTTCAGTTAGGATGGTTAGCTAACGAATACAAGAAAAATGTACACCTGCAGTATTGAAAAATCTATAAACTAAACACTGTTAAGAATAAATGATAGGTTACACAAGACGCATACAGTTGAATGGCACTTCAAATACTATTTGGTATGTCATAGCTTTTATATTATCCTTAAACATCAGTCATAAAATTTAAATATGCACTATTATATTTTTAGACTCATGTATGTATATAACAAACTGTGCACTATATTATTTTTAGACTCATGTATGTATACAACAAACTGTGCTTGATTTACTGTCTAAAGAATATGAGGTCCATGTAGTTGCAGATGGCTGTTCATCTAGAAGTCAAATGGATAGAATGTTTGCTTTACAGGTATACTTATTGTTGTAAACCTTCTACATTGCAAAGAACATAAGATAAAATATTTTGCTGAATAAATAAGAGGTCGAAGAAACTGAAAGTAGAATTGAAATCATACCCCCCCCCCCCACACACCTCCAATATCTACCATTTTATCATTAATCTAATGTTTAATCCATAATCCAATAACTAACATAGGTAACTAGGTATAGAAACAATATAAACCGAAATTACATGGTTTGATTTGAATCCATTTGCATAATGCATATTCTCCACTATAATCACGTAATTACGTCATACTATTGTTTCTATACCTAGTTACCTACATTACTTTAAAAATTGTATGAAACATGTCGGCAATAAAAATAACGCATTTACTTTATGTTACATATATGATCTACTTCTAATGGAATCTTCTAACTACTTATTTCAGAGATTTCAGCTAGCTGGAGCAACAGTAACAACAAGTGAGGCTATTTTGCTACAGTTAGTAGCAGACAAAGATCATCCAAAATTTAAAGACATACAGAGTATTATCAGAACCAGTGCGCCTGATTCTGGTCTTGTTGCTAATTTGTAAAATGAAAACAAAAAACCCAGATGATGAATTCTGCTAATTTCCATCCCGATAATATATATTTGATTGTGTAATAATTTATAAATTTTATTTACACAATGTCATGTTTTAGGAAAAAATATTTATTATGTAACTTACCTACTACAGAGATGACCATGTATGTATTACTGTAAATATAATAAATAGATATGTGTAGATTAACAAATGAATGAATCACTTTGAAATTAAATATTTGTTGTCTTTTCTTTATTTGCTATATAGTGCATTAATAAAACTTGTAATGAACTTTAACCCCTTGCAAGATGTTAAACTACAATAAAAAATTAAAATTATAAACATGTAATATTAAACATACATTATGCAAGATCTAAATCTGCCCTGTTGCAGGTCTTTCTTTAGGCCTGAAAAGTTATCCAAATTATTAATTAGACATAAATTAACTTATCCAGACCATAATCAACTCTCGATATCATCGATCAGATTTGCTGCTCAACTTTCATTCATGATTAAATCATGAAATGGATGATTGAGACTATGTTTTTTTTTATCTACGGACTTTAGTAATGATGATCGAGGCTAGACCGAAGATTCAATCGCTAAATTCTCGGTTCAGAGTGGATCAATTTGACTGAAAATTTCAGCAAATATTCCATGTAGGCTACATTATCTAGTTTTTATCTGCCCACATTAAAATGTGGTCGTATATTGGCGTCGCCCCCACCCGTCCGCCGGCCGGCGTCCACAATTGCTTGTGGACGCTCTAGAGGCTAAAGTTAATATCCGATTGACTTTAAATTCATGAACAGTGTTTAAGGCCATGAGACAAAAAAGCCTATTGAATTTTAGCGATTTCCGATAATTACTGCCAGAGTTATGGCCCTTGATCACTTAAAAAAATCTTGTGGTTGATCTAGAGGTTAAAGTTAATTTCCGATTTTCGATAATTACTGCCAGAGTTATGGCCCTTGATCACTTAAAAAAATCTCGTGACGCTCTATAGAGGCTAAAGTTATCACCCGATTGACTTCAGATTGATACACATCGTTTAAGATCTTGAGACGAACAAGTATATTGATTTTCAATGAATTTTTATGACTTGAACAGCTAAATCCATGATATTAAAAGTTTCGTATACTAAACGTTAGCATGGGGCAGAACTTTATAAAAATCCAAACAAATTCTAATGGTTTTCTGATAATTACTTCATGAGTTGTTACTCTTAATCAGATTTTAGTGTATTATAAATGTTTCATTACCGAAAAAAAGTAAAAATATACAACAACACTTGTTGTATTATAAATGTTTCATTACCGAAAAAAAGTAAAAATATGCAACAACACTTGTTGACTGCCCGGACGATTTAGCTGCCGTGGGCGTATGTTTCGTTGCCTGGCAACCTATCTTTAACTAGTATTATTGTGAAAAATACCAACTCTTTTTCTAGTCTCCCATAATATATCTTTATTAATTATCATTATAACAAAATTCAAATAGGGTAATAGTTGTAATAAGATCAATCTGATTAAAACACAGATCCTATTTCGTTTAGTTTTTTTATGGTTCAAAACTTAGTTCCACTGTCTTTACTACACTACGACCTGGAAGAGTTGTTATAATAATCCACGTTCTGGATGTTGTGAGGTATTAGCCAACGAAACGGTCTGTTACGGTGAGTTTTTGCCGAGCGTGCACGGAACTGGCATGGGTAACCCACTAAAAACATCAAAGCTGATTGATGAAACAAACGTCTGACGTCATTGGGTCAAAAACCGCTTGTATGACCTCTGACGCGACCTTCCACGACAACCGATCAGCTTTTCATGCAGTAGAGGCCATCGAAAGTATAAAAAAAAAACGAAACGTAATATAGATCTGTATTTTAATCAGATAATCCTATACAGCCCTAAAACGTTATATCAAATTATTCTAATTAAAGGTTGACTGGACGTAGTTATAACTGCATCTGCATTCAACTATATTTTATCAATTTTTTGTTTTTAATTTTGAGTCAATATGCAGGTAAAAGAACCCCTGGCAGAATTCGAAATAACAATATGGCGGAGTGCGACTGTCCAGGCAAAATTTCCATTATAGCACACAGTATACTGCCTTGCCATGGGAAGTGGATCAAATTTTAAGAAAGTTGTAGGGTGACCTCCGCAGAATATTATGAAACAAGCGGTTGCCATGCAAGATACGTCCACATTTTGCAATAATCTACAAAAAAGCGATTTTTTCGTACAAGCAGAGGCCATAATTTAAGAAGGTACGGTCCGATACGCTCAAGTATGAAAGAAGCCCAGATATTTGGAATATAAACATATTTTTGAAGTTTCATCAAAATCCTATAAAAGTTGTGATCTGTAAAGGGTCATTGGTTGATATTAAATACAAGGAGCGGGCAGTTTCGGTAAGATTTTCACGAAATTCGAACTCGACCGTCATTATTGCGAAACGGTGATATATATAAATCGGATACAAATTGTGAACTTTAAAGGATCCACAAGCTAAAAACGTTATTTTTCTTGCAATCAGGGGCCATAATCCAGGAAGTTACAGTCCGATTTGCGTTATAAACATACATTTTAAGTTTCTTCAAAATCGGATAAAAAAATAAGACCTACAATCAGGGGCCATATCTTATATTATATCGAAAGGAACTGAGATCCTTGGGATATAAACCTATATTTGAAGTTTCGTCGATGGGATATAAACCTATATTTCAAGTTTCGTCAAATTCGGATAAAAAATTGTGGTACAATTATACTTATGTAACGCCTTCACCAGAAACGTTCTGAAATACTAGACGGCCACAAATGCGATTTCCTGCCATTCCGGCCCGTGAGTACAGGGTCTAGAAAGTGGTCCAATATAAAGTTTGGAACCTAAATCCCACGCTGTGCCCATCCAAATTTCAGCAGAAACAAAAGGGTTGGAAAATATCTTGCAATTGTGGTATGAGTAGCCCCCCCCCCACACACACACACAAGCAACGTTATCACAACTAGAGAACCACAAGCATGTTTTACTGCTTTTTCAGGCCGGTACTAATTTCAAAGAAACTTCGATTCCCAAAAATGAATGAAACAGGTTATGATCGATGCCCGAAAGCTGTCTCACAAAGCAGCGCGGGTCCAGACGAAAAAGTCGTAGGATTTCGACATTTGATTTTGCCGTCTAGGGACTAACATATGGTTAAATTTTATTTCAATAATTCGCTTGCGCGTTGAGGTCTTTAGCAGTGGGAGGAAACCGGAGGACCCGAAGAAAACCCACGAGGTTGGACAGGCGACTCTACTCCTTGTCACGTACAACTGGGGAATCGAAAACCACTCCAGTTGACTCGATGGCAGAACCCTGTGAGACCTTATGATACAATGAGTAATGTCAGCTATATACCTACCTAATTTAGTTAGTTTTCAATGTGTCAATTGAAGTAGATTTCACACAAAAGAATAATTTATAAAATGCTTTATCATCGAGCGATACAGATCGGATTTCATTTATAAACTACGAGTAAATAGATCATGTATACAACGCATTTTAACCAAAATGGTCAATCTATATGTCATAGGTATATAAAATTTGTCGCCTGGAGGCTAAAAAAAAAATTCCCGGGAAATCCCCAGTTTTTCCCGGTAGTCGTGACGCACGACAAATGATGTTTATGATATACCGAATAAGACTCAATGACAGACTTTATGATACAAAGCATACGCGGTAACCATTCGGCTATCAAACCTTCATCTGAGTAGGAGTCTGTCGTGTTATTAGAGGGAGTTTTAGGTACATAACGCATTAGCTTGGAACATATGAGGACTGCAAGGTGTGTATCTTTTATAGGTTCGTACATTTTTAGTTAAATCAAAAGAAATAATTGATTCGATCAACAAGATTCTACATCTTAAGTGGTTTAGTTTTGTGGGGTTTATTCTGTTTTGGAGGTGGGGGGCAGCTTGTCTGTAGATACAGCTAGTGTTCAGATGTAAATAATTAAACAGTATCGGTATGATGTCATTTAGAATCCTTCTGTCCGTAAACATCGTGTCATGGATTGTGATAAAATTTGGCATAGTAGATGTTAGGGATATATTAAAGACGTGCCCCACCTAAGTTATATATGCAGCGTCAGCTTGGTCAATAGACTTACACGATACTTAAATTTCGATGTCGAACAGTTTCAGTAAGGAAAATGGCTGATGATTTTTTCAATATTTAGTTATGCAATACAGCTCAATTTAAATTGTCAAAAACCACTCTAATGCCCAACGAAAATAAACCGAAGATGCCATTGTATGAAAGTTGAAACGTGGAAGGATGTGGAGAAAATTGTTAACGGATAATTGCTAGTCCGATGGGCACCACCCATATACCCCTGTACTTGCGGTATGAACTATTTCCATACAAGTCGTAGATTACTCAAAACCTTGTAAAATAAACATAACTTTGCTAACACTTTCGATCATTAAAAGATGCATGGGCGATCTATTATCATTAAATAATCCTAGATATAGTTATGATATATGACCCAAACTAGGAGATAGTACAATTTACCGTAAAACAGTTTCATCATCCAGTTTAAGTGGCATTTAATAACACATGACACAATTAGATGGAATACAAGTTACTTAAAGAGTTTATTACAGCGACGTTTCGACGAGGGTTTTCCCGTCTTTGTCAAGCAAAGAATGACCATTATAGTGCATTGAGGATATATATACAAAAAGGAACAAAGACAAACATCTATATACAATCAGAGATAATCATTTCTAAACCATCAAAGGGGTGGGAAGCCATAAGGATGGGTATAGTGAACTATGTACAAAGAAAACATGATAATAAAGACAGCTAGATTGGGCGGTGAGTATGCTTTCATAGAACGAACCCACTAAAGAGAAGCCATATTGTGAAATAACATGAGATTATCCGGTATAATTCAATGAGACATTTAAAAAAGTTCAATGCATGGTTTTAAAAAATTAGATATACATAAATTGTCTTTAAAAAAATCCAGATCTATGAATATGTTTAAGAATTTTTTTTTTTTTTTAAATAATTGAGAATCAAAGTGGAAATTAAAAAAGTATATGAAAAACTATAACATATGAAGGATATACAAAAATGTTGAGTGAAATTGTTAAGATAGACGTGTGAAGCATTGGGTGTTAAGAAATTAAATAAGTATATGTGTAGTACTTAAAGTAAAAATCAAAGTATAAATGTAAGTAGTAGTTATTAGCACCCTTTCCGAGGTGTATCGGTGAATATCAGGACAGTTTTGGTCGAGGGGCCCAGCCGAGGCGGAGCCGAGGCGGCTCCCGACCAAAACTGTCCTGATATTCACCGATACACCGAGGAAAGGTGCTAATAAGTTACTTACATCACATTTCTATCGAGTATTGTGAAGCAAAATGTGAAAAATAGTATTTATTATCGAGTCGTTTCAACCGAAAAGTGACAAATACTTTCTGCTCTTTAATTATTTATCCCTTTATGAGCCTCACGTTACATTTCATGGTAGAATGATTTCGCAGTGGAGAGACGACCTGAGAAGTATTTACACGTGCGTCTTGCTATGATACTCTGAGCGTAAAATATTCACGTGTTTGTTTAGACCACATCGTCAAAACAAACTTGTCTATGGCGTAGAGGACTGCGATATTATTAAATGTAGTGTAAAGGAAATGCGAAACGTGGGTCATTCCTGGTGAAAGTATGCATCGGCGGATGGTTCTTCCGTTGAAATTTATTTGTAATAAAGTTTATGACTTTCTAGGCGGTTTTTTTTTCATCCTGCTTATTTTCAATGCCTGTGAAGTGTCAAGCAAGAGAACTGCGCCTTCTATCATCACAATTAATTAAAATAATTATTCAAAATTCTAATTTATATATTTTGCATATTAATATAAATCAAACCAAATTATGAATTAGATGCCAATTGATATGTATAATAATTGATTTTTGTAATATGTTGTTATGTTAATTTAATGTCATTGTATATGTTTTTGAACTGCCATGTAGTTCCCCCCATTTTGTTTTGTTACTATGATTTTGACTAGTCGTTTCGTGGACATTGTACAGAGCCGTCGTTATCAATTGCGATCTAGGTCGGACTAAACGTCCGCTACTTATTGTTTGATAGGTATCTAAAACGGTTTAAAAGTATCCGTGTATCAGAAATGAACAGTACTCTTTCTGAACATTTCTGATACACGGATACTTTTCTGCATGTACTGCAATTAAACAGGACAGTTTTATCAAAGGTTGCCAGTGGCAACGAGTAAAAGTGGGATGTAATTATGCAAACAACATGTCAAGATTCATTTGCAAAAGCATAGTTGAACATTGTGGAACAATTATTAACATAGGGCGTACATCGCTGTGAGAAATGAATAAAAAAAACCATATTCATAAATATAAAAAGTAATCAGGATAAATATTGTGAATGAAACTGTGTAGGAAATAGGGGGCCTGGGGCTTACTAATATAAAGAATTTCATAAATGTCGTGGGAGAATAACCGAGTGGTATACTACTTGATAAGACTGTCGTATGCCCTTGGGATAAATAGACCAGGATCGCGGTTGAGTTCTGGATGGTACCTTTTAATGTTGATAGCTTCTAGGAGTTTCCTTGTCTTTTTGTTGTGTTGGTTTACTGTCAGTGTTTTTGTATCTTCCCAGTTCACTTTGTGACGACCATTGTTGTTGAGATGTTGGGCTATTGCAGAGGTATTGTTGGCTGCTAGGGATTGGTGCTCTTTGATACGGGCATTTAACGGGCGTTTAGTTTCTCCTATGTATGTCTGGCCGCACGAACACGAAACTTGGTAGACACATCCTTTTGGTTGTTGTGGGATGGTTGGGTTTATTTTTCCGTTGGCACGCAGTAAATCTTCCAGGGTACTGCTGCTGGAAAAGACCGTGTCAATGCCTGCCTGTTTCAGGATTCTTCTGATGTGGTATGATGAACTGCCGTTGAATGGTATGCTGACGCGTATGGGTGAAGGGTCTATTCTTGCTGGTTTCACGGTAGAGTGTCTGGATGCTATTGTGGAATTGATGGTTTTATTGATTAGCTGCTTAGGGTACTGGTTAAAAGTGGAGAAGACTTCCCTGAGATGTTCGATTTCATGTTGAAGGAGATCATGGCCACAGATACTGAGGGCGCGGTTAGTGAGTGTTGTAATGATGGCTTTCTTGGTTTGGGACGGATGGTTCGATTTGAAATGGAGATACTGATCGGTGTGGGTTGGTTTCCTATAAACTGAAGTACGGAGAGAGTAGTTAGTCCTTTGAACATTGACATCTAAAAATGGGAGGCAATTGTCAGTTTCCAATTCCATAGTGAACTTGATTTCGTTGTGCTGTGTGTTCAGGTGGTTTAATAGCATTTGTGGGTCATCTCCATTATCCAGCATGACGAAGGTGTCGTCAACTCGCCTCTACCGGCAAAGGGGTTTGATGGGTGAAGAACTGAGAGCATGTTTTTCAAAGGCATTTAGGTAAACTTCAGCTAGCAGAGGTGATAGTGGGCTACCCATAGGCAATCCTCTAGTCTGCTCATAGATGTCGTCTCCCCATATGAAGTAGGTGGCCGAAATACATGTTTGAACAAGGTCTATGATGCTATCAGTGGTAAGGCTGGTGATCAGTGGGATTGGTATTTCATCAATACATTTGCGTAGGTTGTTGATGGCTTCTTTTCTTGGTACATTGGTGAAGAGGTCAACTACGTCGTAAGAGACGAGTTTCCCTGGATTGTTGACTTTTTTGATGTTGCTACAAAATTCTTTGGAGTTCAGAATGTAAGAATCAGCAGTTTTGGCTATTGGCGATAGTAATTTGGATAGGTGCTGTGCTGTTTTGTAGTACACCGAGTCTCTGGAGCACACAAGTAGCCTGGCTTTGGGTGGGTTTTTGTGGATTTAGATTGTGGCTCTGACATAAGGCGGATGAGGGTGAGTTGGTTTGAGTTGGTAGAAAAGCTGGTTTGAAATCTGATTCTGTTCTTTAAGGGATTTGAGGTGTTTCAGTTGCTTCGTTTGGTAGACAGAAGTAGGGTCTTTCCTTAATCTCTTATAGGTGGCTTGGTCTTGTAGGAGGGTGTTCACTGTGTTTACGCAGTCCGGGGTATCCATTATCACCGTTACTTTCCCTTTGTCTGCAGGAACTATCATGATGTCTCTGTCTTCTTTGAGTTCTTTGAGGGCTTCACGTTGTGACATTTCCCTCTGGCGCTAATTGGCGTAGACCTTTCTCAATACCTGCGATATAATGGTCATAATTCTTGGGCTTGGTTGTGGGTATAAACTTGAGTCCACGTGAAAGTAGGGTGATCTGGTCATCTGTGAGGGACCATTGACTGAGATTAATGACAGTTTTGGTGATGTATTCTTCCTTGTTGGTTTTTGATGTGGTAGGATTGGTGTGCTGTTGGTTGTTGCATTTCAACTGGTTGAACTTATTTGTTTGGCGGCTCTTGACGAGGATGTCTAGCTTAGCATTGATTTCTACCTGTTTGTTGCGTAGAAGCTTATACGTTTCAGGGGTTAGTATAGCAGCGAATTAGTGACGTTGATCTTCTGTTACTTTAAAAATGCGTTGTTTTTCATTTCTTAAATGCTGAATACGTTCGCGCATAAGGCACTGACTAGCTTTGCGGAGAATTTTCTGTGCGGCTGATGACGTAACTGGTGACTTGAGGGTGAACCCTTTCGGCACCAAACAACTGTCTCTACATCGCATGAGAAATGTTAGACTGTTACACACCTTGACATATTTACCCTCAGATTTACTATTCTGGTTGATGAGATTGACTGCCACATCTCCATGTTGATGACGA